CACGCCTGCACATAGCCCCCCTGGAGGTCCAGGCCTTCCCCACACCTAACCTTAACCCCTACGGAGATCCAGGCCCTCCCCACACCTAACCTTAACCCCCATGGAGATCCAGGCCTTCCCCACACCTAACCTTAACCCCCATGGGGATCCAGGCGTTCCCCACACCTAACCTTAACCCCCATGGAGATCCAGGCCGCCCCCACGCCTGCACATAGCCCCCCTGGAGGTCCAGGCCTGCCCGCGTTATGGCACGTAGCTGGAGACCAGGCCCGGGGGGGCCCGGTCCTTTCTTCCTCCCTTCCTTTAGATTGTAGTACCAGGCACACATTGAAAATCAGACTAAGTGTTTTGAGAAAAAACCTAAGTGTTTAGGCTGTAGGACCAGGCACACGTTGAAAATCAGACTAAGTGTTTTGAGAAAAAACCTAAGTGTTTGGGCTGTAGGACCAGGCACACGTTGAAAATCAGACTAAGTGTTTTGAGAAAAAACCTAAGTGTTTAGGCTGTAGGACCAGGCACACTTCGAAAATCAGACTAAGTGTCTAGCTTGTAGTACTAGGCACGTTTTGTTCTGTTTGTAGTCCCAGGCACGCCTGGTTTTTCCAGCAGCGCTTAAGGGTGTGCAGTCCGAGGGGGGGGCTTAATAGTGGGTACCCGGGTCCGACTGGTGCACAGGTCTTCCCCGGCCCCGGCGGTCCCTGGAGGTGCGCCTGCGGGGGTGTGGGGTGCTGTGGTCGGGCAGCAGCCTGCACAGAGCCCCCCTGGAGGTCCTGGGCTTCCCCACACCTAACCTTAACCCCCACGGAGATCCAGGCCGCCCCCCACGGCCTTTCCAAGGGCCATAACTTTCTGGTCCTTTGTCCCCCTTGCGTCAAATTCACACCGCGGGTAGCCCGGGATCAGGGGAGTCCTTGGGTCCAACCCCCGTGTCTCTACCCCCTTGGGCTCGGCTTTGAGGATCCCGGAAAGCGGGGCTTTCTTCCCCCGGGAATGGGCGCCCAGGCCCGGATCTGAGCGGGAGCAAAGCCCGCCCCGGTGGTAGCCCAGGTCCGGAGGAGTGCGTGGGTGAAAACCCCGTGTCCCTAGCCCTTATGGTTCGTTTTCTACGAGCCCTGGAAGCCGAGGTTATCCTCCCCCAGAATGAGCGCTCTTGGGCGGGTGGCAGACGCGTGGTTTCCAAGGGCCATAACTTTCTGGTCCTTTGTCCCCCTTGCGTCAAATTCACACCGCGGGTAGCCCGGGATCAGGGGAGTCCTTGGGTCCAACTCCCGTGTCTCTACCCCCTTGGGCTCGGCTTTGAGGATCCCGGAAAGCGGGGCTTTCTTCCCCCGGGAATGGGCGCCCAGGCCCGGATCTGAGCGGGAGCAAAGCCCGCCCCGGTGGTAGCCCAGGTCCGGAGGAGTGCGTGGGTGAAAACCCCGTGTCCCTAGCCCTTATGGTTTGTTTTCTACGGCTTCCCCACACCTAACCTCGACCCCCCTGGAGATCCAGGCCGCCCCCACGCCTGCACATAGCCCCCTGGAGGTCCAGGCCTTCCCCACACCTAACCTTAACCCCCATGGAGACCCAGGCCCTCCCCACACCTAACCTTAACCCCCATGGAGATCCAGGCCCTCCCCCACGCCTGCACATAGCCCCCCTGGAGAACCAGGGCTTCCCCACACCTAACCTTAACCCCCATGGAGATCCAGGCCTTCCCCAAACCTAACCTTAACCCCCATGGAGATCCAGGCCGCCCCCACACCAGCACATAGCCCCCCTGGAGAACCAGGGCTTCCCCACACCTAACCTTAACCCCCATGGAGATCCAGGACGCCCCCACACCAGCACATAGCCCCCCTGGAGGTCCTGGGCTTCTCCACGCCTAACCCTAGCCCACCTGGAGAACCAGGCCCTCCCCCACACCTGCACATAGCCCCCCTGGAGAACCAGGGCTTCCCCACACCTAACCTTAACCCCCATGGAGATCCAGGCCGCCCCCACACCAGCAAATAGCCCCCCTGGAGAACCAGGCCCTCCCCCACACCAGTACATAGCCCCCCTGGAGAACCAGGGCTTCCCCACGCCTAACCTTAACCCCCATGGAGATCCAGGCCGCCCCCACGCCAGCACATAGCCCCCCTGGAGGTCCAGGCCTTCCCCACACCTAACCTTAACCCCCATGGGGATCCAGGCCTTCCCCACACCTAACCCTAACCCCCATGGAAGTCCAGGCCGCCCCCACGCCTGCACAGAGCCCCCCTGGAAATCCAGGCCGCCCCCCACGCCTGCACATAGCCCCCCTGGGGGTCCAGGCCTTCCCCACACCTAACCTTAACCCCCATGGAGATCCAGGCCGCCCCCACGCCTGCACATAGCCCCCCTGGAGGTCCAGGCCTTCCCCACACCTAACCTTAACCCCCATGGAAATCCAGGCCGCCCCCCACGCCTGCACATAGCCCCCCTGGAGGTCCAGGCCTTCCCCACACCTAACCTTAACCCCTACGGAGATCCAGGCCCTCCCCACACCTAACCTTAACCCCCATGGAGATCCAGGCCCTCCCCACACCTAACCTTAACCCCCATGGAGATCCAGGCCTTCCCCACACCTAACCTTAACCCCCATGGGGATCCAGGCGTTCCCCACACCTAACCTTCACCCCCATGGAGATCCAGGCCGCCCCCACGCCTGCACATAGCCCCCCTGGAGGTCCAGGCCTTCCCCACACCTAACCTTAACCCCCATGGGGATCCAGGCCCTCCCCACACCTAACCTTAACCCCCATGGAGATCCAGGCCCTCCCCACACCTAACCTTAACCCCTACGGAGATCCAGGCCCTCCCCACACCTAACCTTAACCCCCATGGAGATCCAGGCCTTCCCCACACCTAACCTTAACCCCCATGGGGATCCAGGCGTTCCCCACACCTAACCTTAACCCCCATGGAGATCCAGGCCGCCCCCACGCCTGCACATAGCCCCCCTGGAGGTCCAGGGCTTCCCCACACCTAACCTTAACCCCCATGGAGATCCAGGCCGCCCCCCACGCCTGCACATAGCCCCCCTGGAGGT